GATATCAGTCGGTCAAAGTTTCATCTGTTAACAGATCGTCTGTTTGGTCGACCGATCATCTGTCCAGATAGTTTGTTTGACAAGATGGTAACAGTTATTTAAAATTCAATGTTGAAAGAAATATTTATTCTAGGCGAAATTAAAGTTTATAACATTGGATGCTTAGGTAATACAGTCAGAATGTACAAATATATGTAAATGATATTTCATTACTTCCAAAGTTCTATCAAAAACTTAAAATTGGTTCATATTTAAGAAGAATGAATAAAAATCAAATTTCAAGAAATAAAATCTTACCCTTATATATTTCCCTTACAACGAATTCTCTAAATTCATATATTACTGTACTGGTCAAACAATTCGTGATACATTATTAGTAGGACTAAACTTAAATGTTTTGACTGTTAGCATTACTTGTTCAATTCCTATAATCCTTGACCATATAAAAAAGTTGATCTTAAATCACAGAAATTTTACGTAAGGCTCAGAAATATTTGGGTGAAAATTTTTTATAGTTTATAGGGTGATTGAAATCAAAAAAAAAGAGGATCATTTAATTACTTTTTTTTCAATCCAAAAAAAACAAGTTCAATAAATTTTTATTATACATTTCGCTTTCTAAATGATTCGTTCATTCCAAATGTGTAGTTTTATTTTGGATTCATTTTCATCAGATGTAATACCTCTTCCTTTTGTAACATTAAAATATGACAAATTTTTCTCACCTTTTGAACTTAAAAGAAAATTATCTGACGCATGATCCGAAGATTTGTGATGTGATACAAAATATTGAATAATAAATTTTTTTTGATGAATAAAAAAATTGGAAACATCAACTAGGTTTCTCAGGCTATGAATCGGGAGCTTCAATTCCCATTTTACTTTGATTATAATAGGCAAAAGATGACGCCTCAATACGTACTTCTAGTTTAGATATTTGTGAATTCCTTACTAAATTATTCCCCAACTGGAAAAAATACACACCTTATGAATTTTAAACCAAGTGGCTGAGTATAGTTGAATTTCAGGATAGGTTCAGTGAAGTAAAATGTTTAACCAAATGGATGAATTATATTATAAAGAACAACAAAAAACTGGAAATATTTCAATAAAGTTAATGAATTGATGAAAAAACAAATAGTTTCAGGGTGTTAATGGTTATGATGGTAGTGATGATGAATTACAAAATGATAAAAATCATATTGTAAATCAAATGGAATTGGAAAGTAAAAGTAAAGAAACAGATTATGAAGGTGAAGATGAAGATAAAGATAAAGATGAATTAGTTGAAGATTTATGTGATGAGTGTAGGCAGGCGTCTGAAAAACGCGTAAAATTTAATGTATCGTCTCGTATAGGAAAGTCAGCTAAAATATAGAAAATTGCGAAAAAGCTTTATTTAATAGATCTTATGAAAGTACATATAGATGAATATATAGAATGTCAATTCAAATGTTTAAGACAAATTCAGAAATATTTATAATTTTCTGCAAGGAATATATTAGGAATTAGGTAAATTGTAATCGAACAGGATCATGAATCATGGTTAAAAGTCGATGAAGTTTTTCATTAATTAAAAAGAATAGAATTAATTGGTGCTAAAAAAGTTTCAACACCAAAGCCAAGAAAGAAGGTTACCAAAACTCGCTTGTCTTTTTGATCATCAAATTTATATAATAAAGGATGTTTATAAGACAAGATAATTTTTTTTAATAAAAAATTATTTTTATACTTTTATTTTAACATAATCGTCATCCTTAGTGAAATGAAGAAATGGTAAATGTTAAATGGGCTGAAAAGTTGGATTCATAAGTAATTAAAAAATTTTTTAAATTAGCATTTTCATTGACACTATTATTTATTTATTTATTTATTTATTTTTTTAGAAAATCACCAATTTATGTCGATAAGGCAGAACAGTTACTTTTCAAGATGATGTAATTTTTAATCAATGATCGAAATATTGATTCAGAATTCATAAACGTTTTTTGAATTGTTTATTATTTTGCTTCATAGGCAGAATTATTAATGATTGAGATTATTTTAATTCACGAAGTTGTCATAAATTTGGAAGCAAATCCAAATTTTCAAGAGATTAAAAGTGGTTAAAAATAAAACAAGTAGTTAGTTTCCAAAAGGAAGTACGACATCATAATTATCTACATTTATTCATTAAAATTTATGTACAATGAATTAAAGGATTTAGACAGAGACGAATTTTAAAAAAGTTTGAACTTAGATTCAACCATACTAGTTGATCAAGAATCAAAAGTGAATGATACAATTGTATATGAGAATAACAATTGAAGGCAATCATGTGATCGGCATTGACCAGATTCTCTATAATTACATATTTTTAATCAAGAATCATTACAGAATAATCTTATGAATTTGGATTGGGTGTTACTATTGATAAACAATCTAGTATTTTAATGGATGGCTTTTATTTGTACTAAAAAGCGGATACGTGATTAGTATAGGAGTTTGTATTCATAAATATTATATATGGCTTTTTAAATATTTAAGCACATGAAGGGAATATGCTTTTGGTATTGATACGTTATCTGTTATTTAAAATGTTGGTTCTTTTGATAATATAACATTAGCAATAATTTACTAGTAATTTTTTCACACTTTTGAAGATTTCTTTTCCCGTTCTAAAAGTTTGAAATCATATTTATGTTTTCGATATTAAATATTTCATATCATAATTTTATATCAATATCCTTCAGAATTATATTAACTAGGAAGAAAACTGCTATATAATTATAGCTATGGACTATCTGATAAAGTGGTCAGAAGCCAAACCATTGAAGCAAGCCAAAACAAATGATGTTGTAGAATTTTTGTTCAAAGAGATCATATGCAGCACAGCATACCAGAAATCATTCTTTAGTTTACAAGATAGTGTTAATACACTAGAACAGTAAAGGGAATATATTCTTCTAATAGTATAAGAACGTATCACTGCACTAGGTGGTGTTGAGGATTTATATAAGAAAATTAATCATCTTTCTTGGATTTATACCTTTTGATAGAAATTTGGTATGCATATTGCAATAGTTGTAGATGTTTTAAATTAAAATCATCTAAAGAAAATTAATCATTTTCTTGGATTGATATCATTTGATAAAAATTTATTTTTGAATTTGAAATGGCATTCGGAATTTGATAATAATGGAGCTAATTTGATATATGCAATAGTTGGGATTGTTATATAGTGCTTAAAAAAATGTAAAAGTCTTTAGTTCTTGGGTTATATATAGAGGAAGTGATTAGGTGTATAAGTAGAAGCCGACCTACGATGTAGCCAGTTATTTTATATAAGAAAAGAGATTATGTTTATTTATACAAAATGATTTTAAGGTGTATTCATGATGTTATATTATAAATATATTTAAATCGAAAATTTAAACTGTAGAAATGTTATAATCAAAAGTAATTTAAGAATATGGGAAGAAATATGAAATAATTTACTAATAAAACAATAAAAAGGAAGAAAAACACATTATTTTCATCTCTCGAACAAATTCTAAAACTTAAAGATCTTTGGCAAGACTTATTATATATGGTTGACCAATATCAAAGTTGTTTTGTTCAATGATCAATCATGAAAGTTTCAAAATACATATAAAAGAATTTCTGCACGTGTATGTCAGATCCAATTAAAAAATGTCAAAACTTTTCACCTTTCAAAATTTGTACTTATCTCCAGATTTTCAATTTTTTTGAATTGCATATTCATTCTAACCTTTTAACTCTCTCGTACAACATTAGTCCCAGTGATAATCAGAACTAATTCCAAGTTATGAAAACATTTTAATGTATCTTATTGCTATAGAATACACTGAAGACTAAAGATGGGAACTGTAATTAATATTTTGCAACTTTTAATGTTGCAACTTACGTTGCAATTAGTTTTAACCTATATATGTTGCAACTTACAATGTTGCAACATATGTTGCAACTAATTTTAGCTTATGTTGCAACATTTTGTAAATTTGAAATCAATTGCTGTACCATCTTTACTGAAGACATAATTACACCCTTTAAAACATTTTTTTTTTTTTAAAAAAAATGTAAAAAATGTAAAAAAAAAATTTTTTTTATGGGACTGGTTGTGACATAACAATCAAACAAGGAAAATCTCATCAAGACTATTAGAAAACCTTAATATTTAATTAATTTTATAGAAAAGCCCAAATGATGTAAAGATTATTCCGGTCGATCAATAATAAATCAGCAGGATATCTTGCGAAACAATATTTTATATAATATATAAAATAAAAGATTATTTATAAATACAAATTCTCCTACATGTTTTCTTTTTCGTCATTCCTTTCGCCAAGAATAATGACCAAGTCTTCTACTTCTATGAGTTATTAATTGTAAGGTATTTTATAGTAATCCTAAAAATAAGTATCTTAAAATAAAGCAATCAAAAATCGATCGATGATCTTATATAAACTAAATATATTATCAAATCAGTCGATTTTTATAATGAAAAAAGTTTAAGCTCGATATTAGTATCATCAAGAAATTTAATATCGAGTCCCAATTAATAATAATAATAATAATTATTATTATTTTGGCTTATGAATTAGTCAATTTATGAAATTTTGATAGAAATTATTATAAATATTTTGTTTTTAATGTCCAATTATTCAAGACCCTTAATTAAATGTTAAGGTTAACTAAAATTATTTGGCATGAGATTTTTTCATAATTCGATAATGATAAGAATCATTTACTATGAATGGTTATTATCGATGAACCTTGCATATTTCATAAGAACTGATTAATTTTTTTTACTATGAACATTACTATCAATTTTTTTACAAAACTTCGATTAAGAAGTGCGAGAAATTCGTAAAAGGATTGATTAATAACGAATGAAAAAGTATATAAACAACATGAAATTCTTCAATCAAAAGTTCCTCACCTCGCTTTGAATCAACCAAAAAAAAAATATCATCCATTATATTGAAAACGTTAAAAAAATGAAGGTTTTTACAATTTTGTCAGTTATCAGCATATTGACTGTAGTAAACGCAATTCCAGGTGATTAAAGGATTATTAAAAAATTGATTTTCCTTTTTTTTGAATCTGAACTAAATATTATTTCCTTTTGAAACTTCCAAGTATTTGTAAAAATGTGATAACAGATACAAGAAAGACGATTCTTACAAGGACTTGAAAGATTACAAAGGTTGGGATAATAAAGATTGGAGTAAAAAAGATTGGGATAACGACAAATATTACAAAGGCAAGGATGATAAAGATTACAAAGTTAAAAATGTCAGTAAGAGCGACTATAAAAATAAAAATGATAATTATGGTAATTATAAAAGAAATGATATACATAAAAACAGCTATGACTACAATAATTAGAATGACTACAGGCATAAAAACGACTATGACAACAATAATTATAATGATTACGGCAAAAAAACGATCACAACAACAATAATTATAACGACTACGACCATAAAAATGACCATGACAACAATAATTATAATGATTATGGCAAAAAATACGGACAAGAGTACGATCGAAACAATAATAACAGCAAGTACTAAATAAAAAGAATCAATATTATCATGACATACAGTACACCAATAAAAACTTCTTTTTATAATAGACATTTAATTCTTTTAATTCTTTTGAATTTTA